CCAGTAGAGATAGAAATCGCAGGAGAAGTTAAAAATATGTCTCGTCTTTTAGCCGGACTGAGATGAAGTGGAGAAGAAAGGGTGGAGCACAGAGGCATGTCTTCAGCTTCATCCCAGTCTCGTGGCCAAATGGGTGTGTCAATGCCATCCACTGGAGCCTCCTGTCCCTCGCTCCAGAAAATCTGGCTTCTCCATGGACTTTGCTTGTCAGAAGATTGCAAAAGGAATCCCATGACCCTGGGACACTACAACCATCATAAATATGAGTCAGTTGCCAAGTGTTTGAATTTTAATCACATAATCACGGAGATGCTGCAATAGTCATAAGTGTGAAAAACAATCATAAGTCGCTTTTTTCAATGCTATTGTGACTTTAAACAAACTATTGTATGTCAAAAGCTACCTGTAAAGTCTATCTCATTTTGTGTTTCTGGTTTGAATGGCTTAATTAAAATCAGGGTAGGCATTGCTTTGTGAGCGGAATCTGCTCAATTATATCTGCTAAGTGAGACCAGTTAGGCCAGTTAAAGACCTAGTAACTGAGTTTACACGACATATTAACAAATACAATGGCTATATTCACCTGATGTGCCATGTTCAAGCAGCCAAACTATGTAATGTTTTAGCATATGACTTGGCTCATACCACAGAATACAACAATGGCTAGTTTTCTACACCAAACTGCAAACATCCCACTTCATTTTACCTTATGTTGCTCAACTACAAACAATGTATCATTCCAATCTCAATAATCTAATCATTCCCTGGTAGTGACCATGATGATCCTGCACAAGCCCATACTCCTATGATATACAAGATCAATGGTAATTACTTTACCTCCGTGTGATTGTGGTGCATCATCTAAATTATGTTGTTTGCCTAGCTATAGTAACAGATGAATCTAATGTAATCTAATCTAACCATAATATATCAATATAATATAATCTAGAAGCATCAGAGAATTGCAGGGCCACCAGAAAATGATTTGACAGGGAAGAAACAGACACCCCAATTTCAGATCGTGATCTAACACATAATCCAGATCAGGCAAAATACCACTTAGGGCCCTGGATGACCTGGGACAGCCCATGGCTGTCATAGTAGCCTCAGATCCCATACCCAGGGAAGGCAAATTAAAGTCCCCAAAGAGCATAAGCCTGGGGAATTCCACTACCAACCCTACCACAAAGTCAAGGAGTTCTGACAAGGGATATTGCTACACAACAGGGTGGCTGGCACAATAGCAACAATCTGAGATGAGCCCTAGAACCCAATTTAACAAATGGAGTCTTGAACCCAGTAATCTATGGAGCAGCACCTCTGAAGGTCACCTAACCTCTTGGATGACACTCACTGTACCTCCATGTTTATCCTGATGTCTTGGCTACTTCTTGGAAATAGGCCTTTCTGCCCAGGAAAAAGAAAGTCAAAAATATTAATGAGCATGGCAGAAGGCTGATGGAAGTGGTGGTGAAAATATTACTTATTTTCCTTTTAGTAAATGACAACTTTCTGATGAGCCATCTCCATTTGATGGGAATTCTTATAGGATATGCTAAATATTCCAAATCCGCTCACCAAAGTTGGTCAAACCTCTGGTTTAGGTCCAATTCTGTTGGATCCAGAATAGAAGACAGATATTCAGAGTCAGGAAATCTGTTATTTATTAAGGATTCTGCCTCTTCACTAGACTGACACTAAGACTTTGACTTGGAATCATGGTATAGCATTTGGTTGACTGTGAAAGGCAAGTTGTGACAATAAGGACAATTTCTGTTCCATTTTAATATCTCTAGTTTCAATTATCATTTCAATGAATACTGAAAATCATTTCAGTTAGTTTTAAAAAATAGGCAAAGAATAACCTCAGGAATTTAGTATGAGACTGACACTTGGGGAGCTAGGCTTATCTTGGTTACATCACTGATCAAGTCTTTTTTGGCTTTGGGATCACTTATGCCTCAATTCCCTCTTTGTACATGACTTTGTAGTTGATTGTAAATCACTCTGAGATACTATCTTTAAAAAATTCTCAGGATGGTAAAGTCTACATGCCCAGTTTAAAAACATGTGTTAATATCACAGTATTTCATTATTTATTCCGAATTCCATGACAGCAAGTGTTGGTTGTAACAACTAATTTATGTTACATAATAAATAACATAACAACATGCTCTTAAGTATAGTAACTTAGAGAATTACAGCATAAGTAACATAATAATATATTCTTTGTTGTCCTGGCTTCATGTATTTCATTAATGATGTATTCCATCATTTGCTTAATTTGGGCAGAGAATGTTGGCAAGGACTTAGCTGCTGCAATCTGCAAACCATAAGTTATATCTTAGTGTGACATAACACTCTGACAATATGTATTTCTGGTATTTTTTTAAAAAATCCAGAAAATTTATAAAATTTGGAATACCTTTTTCTTCAAAACAATTTATAAAACTGAATCAGCATTTTGCTTTTCAAATATGTGTCTCTGCAACAGGATACATATTTCAACTACTTCTATCCATGAACTATGGAACCATTCAGAACATTATGTTCTTATTTCTAAGAACCACATATACAATTTTCTAAAATCAGTCAGCTTAAGTAAAGTTTACTGTCATGTGTCAATGAAATAGTCTTTCACCCTACACACTCCACAGGTCTTTAACAGATGCTCTTTCTATGGAATTGGATTTAACTAGGCTGGAAATGAGTACATCTGTTCTATTTTTCTTACTGCCATCAAAATCGGAGGCTTGCAAAAATAAGTCAACAAACCATGTTTGGAAGAAAATGTTGGCAAGCATTGTTTATGTTTCTTGGAAACACAAACAATTCCCAAATAATCAGCAACATTTCCTATTTCTGGAAATGATTCTGGATTAGAAATAAATCCTTTGCACCAGCAGTCATAGAAAGCACTCCGCAACATTACATTTTCTATAGCCATATTTCTGACAATAAATTTTAGGTCTCCTGTAGCAAAACAGTTGTGAAAATTTAATGAATAACCAAAGCATAGCTTCAGATCCACAGCAGGCACACAATGAGAAAATTTGAGAAACAATCCTTTCCCCAGAAAAAGGGCAGGAAGTATTATTGTTGTCTGGTGCTTCCTCAATGTCTAATTAGACCTGAATTAAATAGAGGTAGCTCACTTTCTCAGAAAAGCTTGCTTGTTTCTGTCTCACACACGTACATGCATACAGACCAATAAAACGTAAGAAACTGAACTCAAAAATTGCAAATAATGCTCTGGAACAGACCTGTGAGTTTCAGACTTTTACCTCTTCTGACATTATGTAGTGCTATTTTTAATCCCAGGATGTAGAAGACTGAATCACAACAGAGGAAAAAACTGAGTCTTAGAGCAGTAGAATATGTATCATGTCTCTCACTGTGTTAAATATACAGTATTTTTATTGGGGATTTGCTGGGGACAATTATTAGTCTAAGGGTTCTAAAAATGATATTTGTGTTTGAATTTGTCCTTAATGTTATACACGTGTACACATGCACACAAACATGCAGACAATATAAAGAGTGTGCTGCATCTGTCAAAAAAGCCAATGCAGCCCTAGATCGCCATGATATAAAAAAGATGTTGAGACTCTAGAAAGAGTGCAGACAAAAGCAACAAAACGGTTAGGGCACTGGATCCTAAAGCATATGAAGAGAAGGACTAGGGATGACATGATAGCAATGTTCCAATATCTAAGGGGCTGCCACAAAGAAGAAGGGATCAACCTATAATTCAAAGCATATGAAGGCAGAACAAAAAGCAATGAATGCAAACTAATGAAGGCGAGAACCAACCTAGAAGTAAGAAGAAATTTTCTGACAGTTAGAACAATTAATTAGTGGAATGGCTTGCCTTCAGAAGTTGTGGATGCTTCAATACTGGAGGTTTTTAAGAAGAAACTGGAGGACCATTTGCCTGAAATGGTATAGGAGTTCCTACCTGAGCAGGGAGTTAGCCTAGAAGACCTCCAAGGTTCCTTCCAAATTTGTTATTCTGTTAAAGATTTCAAAAGAGCATAGCAACCCTATTGGTTTGTCCTTACAAACAACAACTATTTGGGTTCAGATGTCATGAAGAACTCTGGTAAAGTTTTACTGTAGAAGTTCATCTAGTGATATGGACTTGGAGGAAGACAAGGTTATTTTGTGCATGTGAGAGCATTACATTTATTGGCACCTCCTTCTATCAAATATACTTTTCTCTGGAATCTTAAGATAACTGCACAGCTACCTAATTCAGGGCTATATCTGCTCCAAAAATGTAGTCAGCAACAAATTTTACCTTTTTGCTGCTACCTAATGGACATCTGGAGTTTTGCAATCCTGATACCGTAGCCCTAGCTTTAATATTGTACGTGAAAGTTTCCGCTGTCTTTCTTATTGATTCAAAATGGAAGGTGGGAACAGGGAAAGGGAAGCATATGGTTAAAAGTAAATAAATAATGAGCTGAGAATAATCAATGGCTATTAATTAGAGATCACCATTTCTCACTATTTCTGAAATATACCTTCTAAAATAGTATACTTAAAATGAGGCGAGCTAAAAGATTTCTCTGACACTACTATGAAAGGCATAATGAAGTGTGTTTGTGTTTTGGCTTAGCATAATATGCAAACCTAAACTTTAAGGCTTAATATTATCTGCAAACTACAACACTATAGCTTGTTTAGCAAATCACGGATAACAAATGTTGGCACAGCTTAATATAGTTTTAACTGAATAAGAAAACACAATGCTGTCAAAACATATGTTATTCAGACTACTTAAAAGGATATAGTTAAAAATAAGCACCATTTTTAAAAAAAAATCAGGTAGAAATAGGATATCAAATCAAAATTCATTACAAAAATATTATTCTGATTTTCAAAAGTGTCAAACATTGGTACTAAATGAATACCTAATATTTTTCTGAAGGCATAGTTTTGTTTAAATGCTGACATAAAGAAAGCAAACATAATGCAAGAAGAAGGGCAAATCTTACCTGTCTGAGCTGCTTAACATCACCAAATATCTTCATTACTCCATCAATCTCACGCTCTAGCCTTTGAGCCCAATTCTGCATTCTGCAAAAGAAAATTTGGAAGATAGAGTCAGTGAAAAAAATGTGGTTAAAAGTCAGCTCTTACAGCTTAGCTTACATCCTATGTTCTTTTGTTCAGAAGATCCAGCATGTCTGGTTCTTGCAATTCCATGCAATTCAACTGCTGACCAACTGCTAGACACACGATAGATAGATAGATAGATAGATAGATAGATAGATAGATAGATAGATAGATAGATAGATAGATAGATAGATAGAC